GGACTTCACCACCTGGGTAGGTGCTCTACAGCGGTCATTGCTCTGCCTCTCTTCCCAAGGGACATCAAGCAGACTGGAGGTACACATCACCTTCTCCTCCCCTGGTCTGCAGAGCCCTGAATCCCTTCTTACACAAAATGCTGCAGCTGTGACTGTTCTGGGTGGGATAGTGTGAGAGATGTGATCCTGCTTTGCTCAGACACATGGAAAGCTCTTGCAGAAGAGCTGCCTGCTGCAAGTAGACCCATAGCAGCCGGGTTGCTGTCGCCTGCCGCTCCCACAGCACGGCCGCAGCTCTCCTCCTACCCCCTGCTCACTGCAGAAATGCACCCCGGAGACTTCTAGGAGTCTGCACACAACGGAGCACAGTTTTGTAAAAGGCTGGGAACATTTTAACGCTGCTTTGCAGACATCCTGTAGCCTTAGAGCATTGCACTCTTACAGTGAGTCGGTCAGGTAACTGGAGAAGTGTTCTAATATGCTAAAATACAATTTTAAATATTGGCCTCTCTTCGAATGTTCTGAATCTTAAATAAACCCCACAATTATGCACTGAAAGCAGAGCATAAGCATTAATTGCCCTGTTTTGAAAACCATCCTGCAATTGCTGCTATTGCTGTGCATTCGGGGGGGGGAATCTGAGTCAAAAAGGCAATACATGTTCCCCCTCACTCTTTTTTTTTTTCTTTTTTTTAATTCATATCGTCAGCCTACAGGTACTCCAGATAACTCATTAAAATGCATACATGACAAAGGGGTTTTAGATGTTTTTAAGGATTTTCCATGATTTCCTATTCATCAAGGTTGCTTTATTCTTATGCAGTGTCATAGGTCTGTTTTTAGAGGACAGCAAAAACTGCCCTAACTAATTTTCGATTAACATTTTAAGATAAACACAGTAAAGACATTCATGTACAGCCTCAAGGATACAGCAATTACACTTGGGGCTGCAAAGATGTGAGTTCAGTGCCTGGGTTTCCAGGGCCCCATGAGGCAGTCGGTTCTCTCCCTATGCCTTGATTTCCCACGTGAAACCCTCACAGTTATAAATCACTTTGAGATACACCATAAAAAAAAAATCTTCCATGAACGATGTTGCTGGCAATAATGCTGACACGTTTTGGTTTTTTTTTTAAAACACATGATACCATTCACAAACGTTAGAACCAGAACTAAACTCAGCCCAGGCAGAGGAAAAACAATATTATCATTATTCTCGTAAACTCTACCTCCGTCGTATAGTCCTCTGCTCCATTGGGAGCTGCCGAGCAGAGCACCAGGTACTGCGTGGCTCCCTGGGCTGCCTTCCAGCTCAGCCTGATACTGTTGTGACTCAGCTCAGAGACGCGCAGGGAGCGAGGGGAAGACAAAGGCACTGAAGGGAAAAACAAGGCAGAAAGGTATCTTCAGTGTATAAGGTCTGCGACAGCTCAAACCTCAGAGGAAACCTGGCTTTGCAACAGCTACTGGAAGCTGGTGGACATCTACCTCACATCTAACACAGTGGAGCAGGGACCTTACAGAGAAGAGGTTTAATTCACTTGGAGCCCAAGGATAAAAGGGCAGCAAGGGGTTGCAAGATATATCTAACATGGTGTGTGAATGCCATGTCAGTGGTCTCCTTTATAGAACGACATAGGTGGAAACGGATCCTCAAAGATCTGTGGTCCAACGTGCTGCTCAAAGAGTGGGCTGCCCAGGGTCTTGTCTGGTCAAGTTCTGAACATCTCCACAGATGGAGATAGCTGTAGACAGACTGAACTTGAGGAAGGGCGAAAAATAAAATGTCATGTTCCAGTCTGAGATGGTCACAAAGAAGGAGCTTTGTTCACCTATCGTAACCATGCACCGGCATAATTCTCTCTACTCACGACCTACATGTGGAGGTGACACCTCTCAGCCCATCTCCAACAGCTGTGTCATACACAGGAAACACCGACACCAGATACTCCGTGTCCGAGGTCAAATTGGAGAGCCGCAAAGAGGAGACTGCTCCGTCTAAAACCACCTGAAAGCACAAAGGAGGGCTGTCAGGACAGGGAGGTGGTAGCCACCCTTTAGCAAAGGAATGGCTGAAGTGGCCTTCCCTAGCAAGTGTGGCTTCTTTGTGGCAGATCTGTGCCCAGAAACTCGAAGGCCAGTTGCCCTCTGAATGTTGTGTCAGCTAGCATCTCCCCAGGCAGAGCGGTAAGAGGCGGTGAGCATTCCTGTCCTCTAAGGTTGGGATCTGTGCACACACCAAGCACAAGAATCTAATAGTGCTCTCACGAAAATCAATGGAAAACCATCAACAATTTGGATTTGCTTTTTGAAGTTGCATCCATCACAGATGAACACCCTTCAACAGCTCTGTGTATCTGAGTGTCCTCTTTGAGTCAAAACAGATGCTTTAGGGAGGGGACAACACTGCATAAGAGAAAAATTGGCATCGGCATGGCTTGCAGTATTTCTAACAAGATTATATTTATCCCATTTCCTCTTCTATCTTGTCATCCTATCAGCTGAGCACATGTAGACTCATTGTGCATTTAATTTAGCCTCTGGCTTTAGCTGATGACCCACAAGAACTGTACCTCTACCCTCAACTTTTTGTCTACTCAAGTCTACTTAAATTCCCAGCCACAATCTGGAAGATACTTCTGTCTCAGATGTCCAGAGAAAGGTCTCTCACCTCTTTGGGGATACCACCCTTCGATGGATAATACACAATCCGATATTTCTTTGGTGGTCTCAGAGGGGGACTCCAGGTCAAGTGCATGCTCTTAGAGGTCACAGCTGATATTTTAAGGTCAGTTGGGCTGAGCTGGGGACCTGTGCTCACAGGGATATCTTTCACAGTGCTGCCTAGGAATTAAAAACACAGTTACTTTCTAATATTCAGACTGCTCATGCCAAATGTACTTTCCAGCTCATAAGTATGAGTGACATTTTTCAAATCAACTTACAGTCTCCTTCCCTATAGAGTGTAGAAACTGTTCCAAACTGCTCTGAAATAAATATTTTAAAACTGAGTATACAGAGAACATAAATACCCCATAGAGAACAGGCTGTATATTTTGTTGGGTGTTGAGAATATTTTTTCAACACAAATCTGCATTTTTGCATGTATCCAAAAGATGACCCACCTTTCCTCGATCACGAAAATTTGTCAAAATGAACAAGTTATTTTGGTTTCTTTTTTGAGCAGCTTATCTTTCTTCAGCTTAATCTGCACCTTATATCAAACAAGTACAAATTAATAAGGATGGATCAATTTATTCACATGAATCTCCAGAGTATTCAAATAAAAGTATTCTTGAAAGTTAGACTTTCCCATTCTCCTCAGGCCAATATTTTAGAGCAGAGAGAGATGGAAATATGTACACGATATTTCTCCTGAGGATCTAAGCTAACATCTGGACTAGTTCTTCACTCTCTTGTTCATCATACATGCTGCTCTCCAGCAAAGGAAAGAAATAGGCTGTTTGGTTTTAACTTACAAATGCCTTGGAGATCCAGCATTTAAAGTAAAGTGTGGAGAGAAAAAAAAAAAGTGTTAGGGTGTTTTATCATTTCCTCTTCCTACCTCCACATTTCCTCCGTACAGTCTCCCTGATATATTCTCAAATTAGCTCTTTTGCTTTTTCTGCCTCCTCTTAGTTGGAAGAAACTCAGAGTAGGAGATGGTTACAACAGATTTATCACACCATGTGACAATGGAAGAGGGAAAAGAAGTCCCCTCTTTCCTAGAATGGTAGTTATTATCCTTAGGTGATTATATCCATCAAGAGTTAACGAAACCCCTGGTAGGAATGGCTGTTGCCTGTACTGGCTCACAGGCCAAAAGCAGATAACTGAACCAAGAGCATCAGAATGGAAACATCTACAGGTAACGTCTCTCTGTGACTTGTTAGAGATGGCAGGGAGACTGCAGTGGAGTAAGAGAACTGCATCCAGAGGGTCACGTAGAAGACAACAATGACAGGAGAGACTGGCCAACATACTGATGTGGCAAGGATGTCAGGCAGCAAGAGGGCTGGCAAGGAGATCAGCACCGGAGGAGAAGACTTAGGTGATGCTGACAGGATGGTGGAGCTCATGGAGGGAAAACTATGAGAAAGGGTCAATCCTGATGACAAGGAAGGTGGATGGTGAGCAGAAAGAAGCTCAGCCCTCACTGAGGAGGTTTCTCTTCACCTGTGTTTTCCTTGTTGCTCTTCTCTTTGATCCTGGTGCACAGGACCCGGGTGAGCCTGCCAACCAGAGAGCTCAGCAGTGGGAAATCCAGTACGTTGTACACGGTGAGCTCCAGCGGCTCTGAGGCCACCTGCTTCAGCTCTGCCTCGTCCGCGTTCTTCACCCCTGCAACCAGAGCAGAGAACGAGACTGAGAAAAACTCCCCAGAGAGGAGCAGATTCTGCCTCCTGCTTCTGTGTTGTTTGCTCAGGGGCAGGATGGGTCCACTGTCATCCTGCTCTCCAAGCAGAGCCTCCCAGTCATTCCAGTGGGGTGGTGGGATCTGAGAATGGCCTTGGGCTTTCCTGCAGCAACAGCAGTTTTCAGCTCTGTGGGCTCAGAAGGTCTTTTGTGGTCTGGAGACAGTCTAGTGAATCCTTCTTCTGTTCTCCTGCCTCCTCATCACTTGCAGGCTTTGCTACCAGGAAGGCAGATACTTTTCACCCTAAGAGGCAGTTGGCATAAACAGGGGAATAAGTGAATGAATAAACAACAATTTTACATTTAGGAGGTGCCAGCACTCCCCACAGAGAGTCTGTTGTTCATCAGAACATCACATTGCATTTCAAGAGTGTCAGGGATGAGCAAAATGCAGACCCTTTATTTAGAAGAACATCACCGTCACAGAGCATCCTCCATCCCTATCCTGCTCCATATATTCATGAACCCTCTGCAGACCAAGCCCCACAGCATACAACTTATTTTGCTTCCCAGTGCTAGGGTCAATGTCACCCTAGCATTGCCCAAGCAGTACCATTGCCAGATGGGGATCCCACCTGGTTTCTCAAGTCCAAGACCATTACCTTAACAGCTTTGCTGGCCTCCTTCCCCCTTGCTCTTGCAGTGAGGGCCCAGGTGCTATTGACATTAATACTCAGGTCCTGATGTCTAAGGACTAAACAATGTGATCTTCCTCTAATGAGAGAGGAAAGGCAAAGGCCCCAGCCGGGAACAGATCTCCGAGTGTATCAGGCAGACAGATGTTAGCCTGTTCTGCTGCAGAGGCTCAGCAGCTTCACTCAGTCCATGAAAGAAATCACAGTGCCAGCCACTTAGTCACATAACCCTATGCAATAAACCCTTGCTTGTGTCTTCCCAACATAAATTAGCACTTAAGGTCTTGGAGATTGCAATTTTAGCTGAGTTTTCTATGTAACTTTATTACCTGTGTATTAGTCTAGCAGACTTGTTTAGTTATCGACAGAGCTACTCAAGGCCATTTTATGTCTCATTATTGCTGCCAGAGAGCAAAGAGCAGATAACGTTATTATTCAGGGAAATGGAAAGTTGCAAGAGGCAGTGATTATAAAGGAGGTCTCCTGCCCTCCCCAGTACAATGTTCTCTTGACTAATTCCACAGCTGAGAATATTGTTCTCATGGCACACGTCTCTGAGGCTCGCAAAGGTCTTTATGGATGGGAGGTGTGAAACATCTCATGTGAACAAGTGCTTTTTCTAAACAAAAAAAAAAATCCCCTTTGAAGACACTGCCTGTGCTGAATAAATGAGTTAATTTTCGTCTTAGCCACAATGTAATGAGGTCTTACCCATTATCTTAGTTTTAAAGCGTCAGGATGCTCCTATCAAAGTTGGGGGAACATAACCTTCAGTTTGAAGAAGATCAAAAGTAGCTTGGCTTTGTCCTACAGCTTATCAATGGCTGTGATCTTACCAATGGCAAATATCTCTATGCCCAGGTTTTTCAACATCTGAGCAGCCAGGTTAGCATCATCCTGGGATTTTCCATCAGTCAGGAGGATTACCAACTTCTCAGCCTCCAGTCGAGCACCGGCGTCTGGTTTCAAATTCTTCTCCAGGACATGGGTCAGGGCCAGACCTGGGGTGGAGCAGAGATGGATGCTGTGCTACAGCTTTGCAGACAAACCCCCGTCTTTACTCTTTTCTCTGCCCCCCATAGCTTTGGTCCCCACAGAGGTCATCCCATGGGAACAGCTTCCCCCCTTGCAGCTGCACAGATAATTTAGCAGAGATCTGCAAGATGGAGTTACCTGTAAAGGTGTTGCCGCCCTTGTACCGCAAATTCTTCATGGCCTCCAGCACCTGGTCCCTCGTAGAGTAGGTGCTCAGATCCCACTCCGTGCGGGGATCGCTGCTGTACTGGGATAGACCTGGGGAAGACAAGAGCTATCGGCACCGTGCAAGGCAGGGTTAGCTTCAAGAGGAGACCCGTTTGGGGGAGGTTATGTCAGGCTTGCCATGGGAGGATGCCACAAAACAATGAAATGGATTAGGGGTGAGCAGATTTGGTTTCTAGCTCCACTTCTCTGCATGGTGCTTGTCATGCAGGCAGCAAGGTGATGCTTCAGGTCCCACGGGGTACAGCAGTCCTTACCCCTGCGGTGGTGCTCTGAAGTATTTGATAAGGTCTCAGTGCTAATTGGGGTCAAACTAGTCAGCTGCAAGGAGTTGGAAGGATTTACACCATCCTGACTTCATGCACAGCCTGGGCAGTGCTGCCCGCTGGCGTTAGCGATACTCAGAACTGGAGGCAGCACCGTTCTTGGCTGAACTCAAAGCAACTCCAATGCAGCATCGCCACCGCATCTGTCTGTGCAGTGCTGTGGAGGCTGAGCACCTCGTCAGAGGTACACAGCAAATCCCAAATGCATCTCAGCACCAACGCCGGACCTGGTGCTGCCCAGAAGACGTTGCTTCTGTTCGCTGTGCAGCCATTGCTGACAGTCACTAGAGGCCAGGAACGGCTACCAGATGGGAAAAGCTGTCAAAAACAGCAAGTAGGACCTCACCTTAAAGGAATAAAAAACGCCTCAGAGGAGCACATAACCACAGGAACAGAGATCACTGGGCCTTCAAACATGGACTTCCCAAGGTCAGGAAACAGGGAAGTGTCCTACCTACTCTTATCTTGTCTCGGGCAATACTGAATGGGGAAATCAAGTTGCTCAGAAAATCTTTAATGAGCTTGAAATTGTTGCGTCCAATGCTCCAGGATCCATCCACAAGCAGGACGATGTCGGTCACTGCAGATGTGTCGCACTGAAACTGGGAACCTGGGGAGGAAATAAGGTTTGATATTGAGAGAAGCTATTGCAAAGGAGGAAAACCTGTTTCAGCTTTAAGACAAAAAGCAAATCTGCAGTGCAAGGCTCTGTCTGGATGGTGGATTGGACCATCTGCCAGTCTGACACATCCCAGCAAGTTGGGAAAACCACGTGGCTAAGGGTAACCCATCTCGGTACCAAGAAACTGAGTGCTGCGCAGCCGCATTTCTGCAAAGAATGGGTTAAAGCTGCCAGTAAGCGTGCGCCTAACCCAAACACTGCTCTCTGCAAGCTGTCAGCTCCACTACATCTCAGCCCCAGCCCAGCGCTTCCCTTTTATCTAGCCTAAGTCTCCAAGAACTGCAGGTGATTGCTTAATTCCATTCCATCACAAGATCCCCTGTGGGCTTTAATTATTTCGTGGCTTTATATTAAATCCAATCTCTCCGTAAAAACCTGCTGGCATCACAGATACTCAAGCCCTGCCTTTCTCCCCACCCCAAGACTGCAGCTTAACAGAAGATAAGATAGGGCATGTTGCTGATGGAATGCATCTTCTTCGAATATTTTTTCAGATGGGAGATTTTCCATCGTTGGTGGCGGGAAATAGACGATCCCATCAAGATTCAGTGGGTTTCAAAGAGGTTACTCTCCTATCTCTTTTCACAGCCATGGAATCCTACTGGTCTCAAGGGACCGAATGAGGATGCTGTGGCCTATCCCATTCCCAACATTTCAACAGTGCTGTGAGCCATCTGCCCTGCCATGGTTTCAACTGACGAATCTGAAGGATCATCATGCATCAATTATCTGTGAAGCATGAAGGACAAGTCCAGAAGGTGGAGCAGGTTGGGTAATGAACATCACTGATCCCCTTCTTCCCTTCTGAAGGTTTGGAAAGGTCCATGGCTGGGGGGTCTGTTGAACAATACGAACTCTTACATGGATCTGTCAGAAGCAGAGGGAGGTGGCAACACAGATAAAGTATAGTGGCAAATCAATAAATTAAATCATCTGGAAGGAATTTTTGGCCTAGCTCCAATTTGCCTTAAAATCTGTGATGTTCTACAGAACTCCAAATTTCTCCGGTGATCCCTGGCAGTTCCCCAAAGCATGACCTAACAATTGGAAGCACTATCAGCAGCACTGTCCTCTTGAAAGTATTGGTGACAGAGAGTGGGATGGAAAGCTTGTATTCAACAAGCGTTAGGGAAAACAGTAGGGAAGAAGGAGCAAGACTTGTTTGAAACCCCTCTCACCTCGCCTCAATGAATCCTTCGTGGGTTTTTCTTTTCCTAGAGACTCGCGCTCCGAGTTTGCAGGAGTGCGCTGGGATAATTTTGTGGTTGTTGGTGTTGCTTCTGTCATGCTGGCCTCCACACTGTGCTGGTTTCTTCTTGTTTCTCCTGAGCCCTTGGGCTGAATCCCCTTCTGCCTTTTCTTTTCAGCTCTGTCCTTTGCTGTGCTCCAAAGAGAAAAATCCCGTTATCCCTAGCTGTGTTATCCCCGTGCAACATCTCCACTCATCGGATGGTTTAAGCCACGTTTGACAGAGGTCTAGGGAGCTCAGAATATAAAAGTCCTACAAGCTTTGTGCAAATAGGTAGCTAGATAAAGGAGACCATCTTCGTTCATGCCTCTCTGAGAGGGCTGCACATGGACTCGTGAGTTAATAATGTTAGTAGTGGAGCACATCAACAGTTTGTCCTTTGCATTATCTTTGAAAAAATAATGAATGTTTATAAAATATAAATCAGGGGAAACATACCATGGCACCTGATACCCACTGTACTCTCCAGACCTCAGCAATCTGTGACTTGGAAACACCCTGAGCTAGTGCAAGTCTTTTTGTATAGTGGCCCTGATGGATCTCTCTTCCACAAACACGTATAATTGCCTTTTGAACTCATGCAAACCTTGTTGCCAGACACCTGAGAATCTATGCAGTTACATACAGTCCTCAGCCGTAGGAGAGAGCTCACACCTTCTCATAGACTGTCTGCAGCCAACCTTGGGACACGGACCTTAGGAAATCAAGCACCTTTAGCCCCAGTGCTCAGGGAGCAGCTTGTTCTCACAGGATCCGCTCTCAGTTGAAAAAATATGACCGTATCTGCTGAATTTGAATACCTGTCAGCCCCAGGAATGCATGGATGTGCTTCTTCAGGTTGGCTGGCATGAGACGCAAATATTTTTAGGTTGCGTACTGTGTTTTTATAGTTAAGAACTGCACACAAGAGATGAGACAGGGCTATCATGTCTCACTGAATGAGTGTCCCTGATGAAGTAGGGGCTGCAGGGAGAGGGTGGGAGTAGTTTTAAGGACAGCTGTGTTTAATGCTCCAACCATGGTAGCACGGCAGAGGCCGTGGCTCAAAATCAATCCAAGGTGACTCCAGGACAGTCAGTGCACCCACCTGGCTGTGCCAAGACAGTGTTCAGGGGTGGTGGGGTGGCCTCTGCCACCCCACTGTGCTCAGCTGCTGTGTTCCCCAAAGAGGTGAGATTCTTTCCTGATGCAGCTCCTGAGTTTCTTCGGTTATTTCTAGTCTGGGATGCATTTTTTAATTCCTCTACTGTAGGAAGACCAAAACCAGAGAGAGAGTGAGTCACTCTAGACAGGTCTGTGAGTCACAGTCCATCCCTCATCCCCTGCGTCTTCACCACACGACTTTTTAACCTTCCAACCAAAACAGCAACAGGATCTACAATTGCTGTGTGGTCTACAGGGCACATGCCAGAGGATGAGCTCCGAGGAGCCACATCTCCAAGAGCCTCAGGAGCTCTCTGAATGGTAAAACGTAGCACTCTACTTACTCACAAATTTCCTTTTGGCAAACAGGGCTTCCTGGGAGCCGTTGAGCACATAGACCTGCAGCGTGTATTCCTTGGTAGGGCTCAGCCCCCCCACTGTGGCTTTGGGAGTCTTGGTTTTCAGCATGACTTCTTGCTCCGAGTCCCCTGAGGTGGGATGAAGCCACAGTTCAGTCTGTTAGAGCTTAAATGTAAGCTGACAGTAGCAAAAGCACAGCTGAAATGCAGGGAATGTCTGCCTAGGGACCTCAGTCATCTCCTATTTCTTTTTTTAATTTTCTGGATCTCTCATTCTTACTCTTTTTCCCAATCCAGAGTTGAGAAATCTTAGGGGTTTGGGGTTTTTTTTTAAATGTCTGATATACGCCCCAAATGGAAAACCAGTTCCCACCCAGCATTAGTGCAACTCTCACCAACTTCTCAAGGAGATGCAGAGCCAGTCTTCAGAGGGTAACGCCTGGGCAGCTGCTGGTGAGTACTGCTTATGAAAACGTCCAACCAACTGATGTGCTTGAGGTCGTATGTGACAACATGAGGAAGTGGCCTGGTGTCTCTGGAGGTCCTGACTGGCACTTGGGACTCATCTTACTTATCCCAGCCACTCTTGCTGTGCTGTTCCTGCAAGCCCCATCCCTCTCCAAGGGCAGTTGCCCTCTGTGGGGAGACAGTTCATTTCTGGAGGTGGCAGTGTCTCCAGATGGCTTCAGCCATTTCCCATGGCTGTGGGACCTGTCCTGGGGCTACGATGCCTCAACCAGCCAGGAACTGGGGCATTTCTGCACTGGCACAGCATTAGCAGATGGAGCCAATGCTGCACCACAGTCTCTGTGCTATACAAAACAACGGAAGAGAGGTAAGCTAGCTCCCTAAAATTCTCTGATTAAGAAAGGTCTACAAGCTTTAAATTATAGATATGAATGTGTTTCTGACCCCACCATCCCTGTGCTCACGCCTGAGGCTGGAGACGGAGCTACCCAGCCTACAGAGAGGGAAAGCCTCAGGCACGTGCCAGGAGTGCCAGTGGGGATTCCCTGCATTCCTGGGATGCTCATTGCTCACTGCTGAGCTGAGGCCCGGGGAGGAGCAGGACAGGGAAGGAATGAGAAACCTCCTGCCCCAGCTTGAGAAACAGGTGGGGGCTGAGCTAAAAGCTGGTGAATGATCCCAAGAGCTCTGCTGCGCACACCCCTGCCTGGCAGCTCCCTTCTCCAGTTTGCTGGGAAAGCGACCGTGACTGAAAAAAACAAATGCCAGCCAAGACTAAGGTTGCCTCCAACCATTGCTCTCCACTGAGGGACATTGCATCCTTCCAACACTACCAAGTTCAGCATCCAAAGTTGGGGACAGCTGGAGCTTGCTCAGGGTAGGGCTGCTCCATGACACACATGGGGTCAAGGACTTCCCATCCCGTGTCTCTGCAGGTGAAGGGAGAGCTGGGAACTCCCACAGAAGAGCCAGAGAATGAACCTTTCCTCATTTTTTTTCTCACCCAGTCCTGATGAGCAACTCTTCCTGCCTTAGCCTTTCCCCTAGCACGAAGAGAGCTGAATTTCATCTCTCTCATGGGTGTGTGATAGTGGGACGGTGCCTGTACTGACGTGGCACTACGGACTGCTATCACGGTGGTCAGAAAGTTTTCTTGTCTGTACGGCACGTACAGCCCAGTGGAAAGTTTTGATGTAGGTCATCAGCTCTTGAAACCGGAACAAATGGTGGATGATTCCCTCTGCCTTATCTCTATCACCTTAAGGTCTAAATAATGCTCTTACTTAAGTCCTGTTCTCCACCAGTCGAAAGTGGAGCTCAGTCCCTCACTCATACACAAATCTCTGCCGGGTCTGACGTCCGACACGTTAGCACGTACCTGCCATGGGCTTTACCCGAACTTTGTAGCCGTTGATGTTCCCTTCAGTTTCTTTCCATTTCATTTGGAGCCTGTCTTCTGAAAGGACCGTGAGTTTCAGTCGGCCTGACCCTGGGGAGGAGGAGAGGTGTCCGTGCTGTTATGGATGCAATTCCTCCCTCTGTGTATGCACCCACAAAACACCACATATGCCACCTCCTCTATGGACATGGGAATGGTTGCAGTGCAGAGGAAGCCCTCACCATCCCATGCAAATGCCCAGCATCCCCTGACACCGCACAGTAACTCCTGCAGTCCCCCTGCACCTCTGCCGGGAAACTATCAGGAGTCACGGCAAATCTGTACCCTCCACCCTATGCGAAGGGGAGTTTCTCGGCTGCTCAAATGAGACCTCAATATAGACTGCTGCAAACAGGGGAGAACAGCCTGCAGGAGCTTTCATGCAGAAAGTTTTGTTTCAGCAAGTGTGGTTAGTGCAAACATCTGAAATGGGAGGGCAGAAAGTAGATAAAAGGGTCAATGAGGCTTTTCAATAGTCTTGGTCTGCTGAGAAATACAGAAATTCCCCATGTGATGGAACCCATACTTCTGCAGGAAGATCATTTCAGAGGCAGCTACAAGGATCAGCTGAGTTAAAAAAAAAAAAAGAAGAAGAAGAAGAAGAAAGAAAACCTGATAAAGTGTAAATAACAGTTCCTGGCAGGACCATAACTCATGGGCACCAGCTTGTATAAGTCTGCTGCAGGGAGCAGCAAACCAAATGACAAATCCTGAGGAAAAAAATAATATCAGACAAGGAGGCAAAAAGAAGAAAGAGCACGTTCCCTTATCATCTCCAGATTTCACAGACGTCTTTTAATACTCCAGCTAGATGTCTGAACTCATGTGTCACCCTCTGAACCAACGACTCCTTGGGAAAGCATAGCTGTACCGTCATACAAATGTCACCATATGAAACTTTTTCACTTCACTGGCTATTGGATGACAACTCGGCAGATTTATCTCCCCTCCTTCCTGACACTGCCCCTATAGCTGCCTTTCCAGCAGGCTGCCCTCATTTGCGATGACTGAGCGCATCCTTTGCCTGCGCACTATAAGCATCTGTGCTCAAATG